GTCGTTAGGATTTGCTGGGAGAACGCTAACTTCTGCGCCAGTGTCGACGAGGTAGCGAACTCTCGTTGTCACATCTGTGACGAATAACAGACGGCTTTGTTCGCCGGCTACGGTTGCCGTTAACGCGTGCCGGCTTGGAAGTTTCCCGAATTGTTTTTCGAATCAGTCGGTTTCGTGTTGGGAAAATTGCAGGGTTTTCTGCAATTTCTGGAAAACTTTCCATACTGGTTATGATACCAGCACCAGTCGGGGTTATCTGTCTCTCGTGGTCTAGAGACAGATCGCTTACGAGAAATGCTTCTACGTGGTGTGCGCGATCTCTTACGGTCGGTACGAAGACTAAGATAACGCGTGAGTGTGTGACATAAGTCGGTTATATCATTCTGAGTCGTGTGAGGCTTTTCTTTGACTGAAAATACCTCGGTAGTAGAAGGTTTCGTAATTTCTAGAATGCGGTCGGCAGATGCAGCTAGCTCGTCTAAGGCGTTGTTCTGGAACGAGACCAGAACTGCTTGCACCTGTTGGGGAAGTTTTGACAAGAAGAGTTGTTTGAATAGACCTTCGTCGAAAGTTCTTGGGCCTATAACCTCTCTCATCCGTTGCAACATGTCTGTCGCAGAACCGTGTTGCAGGTCGATATTGTTGAAGAGTTGATCTAACCTTTGTCGATCGGTTAGGTCTCCTCGTTTAAGAATCGAGCGTTTTAAGATTTCGTAAGGATCGGAAACATCACTAGTAAACATACTAGGTGTTACGTACCTGTTGAATTCGCGCGGTAGTGCCTTGACTACTGCGAGGAATTGTGCACGTGTGTCGATCACGCCGTGCTCGGAAAAGTCGGCTTCTGCGTAGCAAAACCAGGCTTCGATGTTGTCGGGCCAGAAAGGCATCAGTTGAAACGAAGGTGGGGACAAGGTCTTAAGCTTGAGTACTTTAGGTGTCTGTTCAGTCATGATGAAATATGAAGTACGATAATGAACGAGGGGAAAAATATATATATATCCAAGAAAAACACGAAAAAAAATCACAATGTTTAAAAAAAATAAAAAATAAGGCAATGATATATAAAAATCCCAAAAAGGAACAGACTCACAGTTGCAATAAGGTGTACCAGATCACGACGGTCTCACCAATGATGATGTCACAGGTATTCAGTGTTTGACAACGCTTCTACCAGTAACACCTTCTAATGTATTTCGTTCCCACCAAGAGAAATCAAAAGACAGAGTCGAGGAGATCGGAAGAGTATATTTGGCGATGACCAATATATCGGAATTCTCTGATCTAATCTGGCTAGCGATTGCGGTTGATGTTGAGCACGGCGTTACCACACGTGATCTGGTGCGGATGCCTGACCGAGCGCCTTCAGCTAGATGAGTCCACTAAAACATATGGTCAGCATCCAATGTCGAAAACTTACAGGGCTATTTATTTTGGGGATTTATTTACCGCTACAGTCTGTTCGATTAAGCCAAACTGGGTTCTTTGACAAATGGAGTACAAAGCCTTTTGTATAGTATTAAATTGTTCTAAAACCGGTCCTAATACGACGAAGAAAATAAATTATATCCAGACTACAAAATACCTCGAACGGTAGGGCTTGTGATACACAGTCAAAGATTTCTCTGGCAAAAAGTAACGTGCTTAACGTCAAAAGGAATAGTTAATTAATAAGAGTTCGATACATGAGAACCAACAAAAATATTCCTAACAAGATGATATCAGATATCTTCTTGCAAGGGGTTGTAGTAACCGTTTTTAGAAGGCGGTTGAAGGTCAGTAATCATCAACTTCAACATGCTGTAACAATGAGTGTAGTTGACCACAACATTTTTGTCAATGACCTGACAATACGCACCAGGAAAATTAAACAAAAAGCTTAGTTTTAACCAAAGGTAAAAAAATAAAAGTTCAAACAGAGGAGACTGAGGAATGTAAAACGTGTTTAAAAGAGTCCTGATCGAAGTTTAACATGCAAAACAGAGTAGGAGAATAAATAAATAACAATGTTGTTTTTTCATAAAATATTCTTCATGGGTTTCCAGCGTTCTCTTTCTGTCACAGATAAAAACAATATTTTAGGGTGGTCGAACACTTCCCTAATAACCAGTTGAACATTAAAAGCCCACAGTTCTGATTGACAGACTAAGGAGTGAAGTCAGATTTGAGTGGCATGCTGATAGCTACTTTTGCCATCAAATGTCTAATATCTTTGTGATCAGCAAGCACAAACTAAGTAGTTAACTCTTGTGTCTATATTTAAGCATCCTTTCAAGCCCTTGATAGCGTTCAATGAAGGTAGTCTAATCATTGGAATATAACAGTTCTAGTGATTTGACAGTTATTTGAGGGTCGGTATGATTATCATCCGTTACCCAATCTAGACTATTTCTTTCTTACCAGTGAACATGCCTTCTACTTATTGAAAACAATTAATATCTGATGAGAGCCAGTTAACGACAAATGTAGATGTTTTGAACTGAAAAGTTAGTTTTAAAAAGATGCTCATTTTACTTTCAGATAACAATAAGTTATAGAAACTTGTAGATCGTTAACGTAGATTATCTGTGTCGAACGATTGGGGGCCTAATGAAGTTGGACGGGAATGATCTGACGAACCAGCTAACTTCAAATTCATACCTCGCAGCCAACAGCTAACGTGAATATCAAAGTACTGTAGCTGCTTTGAAGACAGTATAACGCAAAAAACGTTATTACAGAGATATATTAGTAAGAATAGGTACAAGGGAGAGATTGTGACCACCACCGCATGGGCCAGTCTATGGCGTGCGATTAATTGATGCGCGTTAGTTTTCTTTGAACTTGAAAATAATCAGTGACGTGTTCGACATTCACTGTCCCGTCTGCTTAATGATCTGGCTAGGGCCCAGTGAAATTTTGCTAGCCCTACAAAATTGTGAATTTCATACAGACATGTTAAATCAACATACCAGTCCACGCATTTTGGGAAATGATATCTGATTGGATGTGGGATTGTTAAATGCATTAGTTCAGTTCTACTAGTCAATTTGTGCTCAGTTGTGTGAATAATTAGGATTTCTTGCATGTCAGTCCTTTTGATATTCCTGTATTTGGTCATCTGTCATATTTATATATCTGTTTATCGTATTCTATCACTATATTGATCAATAAATACTTGAGACGCGCCGACTAACTGACACTTTTGACAGTCTACATCCATTTCAATACAATGAAGATTAGACCAGTCTAATGCAGTCCTAAATTTATTTCACCACAATGCAATCGTTAGTGATTCTAAGTGCCAGTGTCAAAATAAATTCAATTCAATTACAGTGAGGTGTAATTCTGGTATTATTTCAATACTACTACTATTTCAGTCGAGTTCTGTCCGTTAATTTCAATAATACTTTGTTATTTACCATCGCATATGCTGGTGGATGCAATTACTGAAATATGTATTTAAGAACACTTGTATTATAGATCTGACTTTATTCATTTATCCTCAGTCATAGATTACCAAGATGAGGAGCATAACACATGCACACGTGTATCTGTAACTTCATCTATTCCTGCGAAAAGAGCCATGTTGAGCCTATAACCAGATGACTGTGCAAGCTAGTTGGTGAACACCTCCCTTCATGGTCAAGAAAGAACATAGTCGGAATAACACGCAGCAACATTCTGTCACACTTGATCAACGCCAGTCATGAGGCAGACAAAATGAGTCATCTAAATTAGTTGTTTATCTAATACCTTTGTTTATGTTGTTTGATCTCGTCTCTTACTGTAACGTCTTTAATCTATCTACTAACAATATGCAGAAGAATATATGTCTCAATCTGGATTAAGGCCTTTAAATAATAGACTGACTGATTTAACACTGATGTTAGAAACGCGTGAGTCCGAAGTAAAACTAACTGCCTTAGGTAGAGAGACGAAAACTATCCTATCACCTAATTAGCTGACTAGCGCCTGCGAGAGAGAACACAATTCAACTGGAACACTACTCCATTTATTCTCAAATCCGATCGGGTTCCCGATTCAGATTAGTGCATAAGATACATGAATAAACCTATGGCTAACACGACCACAACGTACAAACCATTAGGAAAATAGAATTATGTCAGAATGGGGGTTTGTGGATATTAGGGTAGAAAGTAGAGTATAAAAGATTACGTTTAAATAAAGATAGCTTTGGAACAGAAAATGATATGGCAGTAAATCATACATAAAAAGAATGCTTATTAATATTATTATTATTATCATTAGTAGTAGTAGTAATAGTGGTGGTAGTAGTCGAATTCGGTATGCTAACTACTAGTTCTCAGAACTATTCATGTTGTACTCTGGTAGCTACCCATAGATCTCCGTTTAATTCAGATCCATGAGCGCAAACGAAGTAATTTTATTTGGAGCTCGTAGTGGCTGTGGTTCGTTAACCAAATACCCTCGCAACCGTTATCATATAATCCTCAACGGTGTTTGAAATCATAAGGCAAAGAGAAGCAGCGACTACAGTTTTATTAGCAGATAACTCAGACTGCTAAGCAGAGAGGCGAATGGGTGAGTCAGCGAGTCGAGAATGTATATAGGATTAAATGTACATGTATATATTATAGGGAAATGAATGGATCATCGAATCAGTTAAACAGCTAATAATAATTTACATTGGTAAACCAACGGACGAACTTCATTAACTTGGTTTTTGCAATGATGTTACAAAAAATATGGAGATAAAATCTGTTGATTAAGTTAAACAAAATGTTTTATGTAAATTTCGTCAATTTTATCCTTGACTCAGCTGGTACAATCGTAAAGAGAAATGTATATAACGTCCACAAGAGGCTATTTCAACATCAGGACTAATTCTTCCGTGCCCATAAGTATTTTCTAGTAGCCGATTATTTCATGCTAAACTTAACCATACTTAATGTTACTAAGGGGATATTTAAAATAAAACACTTTCTTAGTTAACGAATAAGTTTATTAACCAAATAAACAAGTGACACAAAATTGTTTTACATTTTCTGTGGTCCTATAGGTGCCGTACTTTGGCACTTTGCAATACCTGTTTTCCACAATTCTTTAACAGGTACAAGGTCTGAACTTCGATATTTTGTGTACTGATGATCATCAACTTCAAGATTGTTTGATCGAAACGGACCACTTGACCATTCATCATGATCATGGTTACCTTGGAATTCTGTTGTTTTTTTAGAAGAAAAATGAACTATGGTGTTTTGGAAATATTTTAACGTCAATTCATGTTCCCGAAATTTATACCTGAAAGTTAATTAAAATATTACAGAATCAGAAGTGAAAATTCGATTAAAATGGATACCTTTTTTTTGACGTATGTATGCAATACAGATAACTAAATTAACCAATGGATCTATAATATTCAGTTAGATACTACTGACAATGGTGGTTATCCGCGGCTTATTTCATTCTAGTTTAGAAAAGAACAAACAACTAGCAGCAGTTTTTGAAACTAGTGAAGTAAATTATGTTGATTCTACATAAGTTCATATTTAATTTGTTAGTTATGTTATCTAGTAGTTGAATTCATGAGTCAATTGGAGCTAAATCATTATGGAAAACCTGGAAGCACTGGACGGCCATTTCCTACTATTATGGGAGTCCTCAAAAGTGAGTATACACGATCCCGCCCCACGAGATTCGAACCCAGGACTTATCGGTCACGCGCTCGAACGCTTATCCTCAAGGCCGTCGAGCCGGCATCCAACGGTGTTAATGTCTAACGTAAAGTAATCCACGAAATTTAGCGACACATCCATCATCGTCTTCAGTGAGTTAGTATTTCACAACAGACCCAGCTGAACTCCACTAGTCATTGCTTCTCACTAGAATTGCAGGAAATACCTCTTGAAGACCGTCATTAGTTATGTTATTCACATCTAAAACCACATAACATACTCATCAGAATATACTACTAACAAAGAGTTTTAAAAGAATAAGACTTAGCCTATTTTACTTTAAAATGAAAAAGTATGTGTTCAAGCATTAATCAAATATTCTTTTAACAATTTGGTGTAGTTCTCACCTGTTTACCATCATCTACTTAACTTTGAATTAATAAACCAAGCAAGAATGAGTAAACATAGATTGATAAACTATAAACAGTTTACTAAAAGAGGTAACTGTTGTATGTACTCTTATCAGATTGACTTAAACGATTTTCTAGGTATTCGACGTACATGATTGATTTATGGAAAAGGGAGTAATCAATTTATCCCATAAAAAGCAGTTAATTTATAGGGTGACTGCCTTTGAATTTCCTAGAACTAATCTTTTTGTCGTCACATCTTGGATTATATAAATCAATGATTTTTGAATAACATCACCCAATGTTTGCGAAAACATTTTAAAACAATTCATTTGATGATATAATATTCACCAAGCTTATTGCTTTTCATTGTAATGTTGTGGAAATGTAGAAAAACGAATATATTATTAAAAGCTGTTTTCTCTTTGGGAATTTTCTCAATTAGTCAGCTACAACGTAAGACCAGGTATTTATATGCATCGGTCTAAGTTGTCACACCTTATTAGCACAACAAGATGAACACCGAATTCATAGAAGTACTTAATTCAATGGTGGTAATATATAAAAGAAAGATTGTGTATAAGGATATAGTACAGGAAGAGAGAACTAGTTCGTGGAAAGAAAGATATGAAGCGATTTAAGTCTCACGGTTTAAGGGAAGACAAAGAGTGTATACACCTATGCCATTGTGATCAATTCGGAGCCATGTCACCCAGGGTCTTCAAACATTGGTTGCGATAGTCACACGAACCCCAATCAAGTAGTCTGCATCTACCAACATGGCTCAGACCAGAAGTTAGTGACTTCAATCACTGATGCCACATTTTCGTTTGACCTTCCCTAACTTTCTTCCAACCATCTCCAACACTAATCAGCATTGCGCGCCGTGGTGACTGGTGTTCAGAAGATATCAGGCAGATAGAAAGTTTGATTTTGAAGTCAATCATTATCATCATCGTGAACATTAGTAAAGCTTATTTCTATCATGCTTAGTTACTTTTATGATAAATAAGACATTCAGTGAAGTCCTATAAATAACCAAAACAATTGCAAGGAATGCTAGATTTAGAAACCTAACAATCCTTGATCTTCATTCTCATTAAAACTCATATAGAATAATATTCTCAATCAAATATTCATCAAAACGGTAATATACAACAGTAAACCAGTGAATATTCATGTACAGAATAATCTGATCATTACTGACACGTATTTGCACAACGTAGATAGTGATTCGTGATTAGATTAAAATAAACCTTAATCTGTTAGTACGAATGCATAGAATTACAGATTTAAGCATCAGTTAGAAAATAAATGAGTCCTACAATAGGACGAAACGACCGTCTAGTGCTTCCAGGTTTTCAATGGTGGTCTACGTTCAATCGGTTCATGATCTCAATCAAAAACTTCACAATCTTTACAACCCCTAAAACTGATAGAAAATAAATGTGTGACTGTAAATTGTAGATTATATATAGGTTATCTAGTAATGTGTAAACCTTATGCATTAGTAGAAAGATCATTAATCGAAAAGCTGACATTATTCTTAAATAACATGATTTAATTTGGTGATATACGAAATTGCAATCAAATATACTGGACCAACTCTTGAGGTTTAATCTTTACGTCATAGAAAGAAAGTAGAATTATTATTTTGTTGTGTAAGCAATCATCATCAGTTGTATAAGATTTGGAAATATTGAACTCACTTCATTAACCTGCCTAAAAGTAGTATGATACAATGCTTACTTACTTACTTACTTACTTACTTACTTACTTACTTACTTACTTACTTACTTACTTACTTACTTACTTACTTACTTACTTACTTACTTACTTACTTACTTACTTACTTACTTACTTACTTACTTACTTACTTACTTACTTACTTACTTACTTACTTACTTACTTACTTACTTACTTACTTACTTACTTACTTACTTACTTACTTACTTACTTACTTACTTACTTACTTACTTACTTACTTACTTACTTACTTACTTACTTACTTACTTACTTACTTACTTACTTACTTACTTACTTACTTACTTACTTACTTACTTACTTACTTACTTACTTACTTACTTACTTACTTACTTACTTACTTACTTACTTACTTACTTACTTACTTACTTACTTACTTACTTACTTACTTACTTACTTACTTACTTACTTACTTACTTACTTACTTACTTACTTACTTACTTACTTACTTACTTACTTACTTACTTACTTACTTACTTACTTACTTACTTACTTACTTACTTACTTACTTACTTACTTACTTACTTACTTACTTACTTACTTACTTACTTACTTACTTACTTACTTACTTACTTACTTACTTACTTACTTACTTACTTACTTACTTACTTACTTACTTACTTACTTACTTACTTACTTACTTACTTATTCCTGTTACTTCCGGAAGGATGATACAATAAAAGATTTTTAAATATCAGATCATCATATAAAAAGTTTATATAAAGCTTATAGCGTTGAAAGAATTCCATACATGATCTTTAGTATGTTTCGGTTAGTACAGTACATCATAATTATAAAACATTTACTATTTATAATCAAAAATAGTTGAATCATTAATTGTACATATATGAAATTTGTCAGTTTGCCTAAAAGATACTATTCATTTATTATATACAATAATTTCAACTTACTATTTAATATTGGATCTTGTATTCAATGTTAATATTATTTCTAGTTCGAAATAAAGACCGGTGTCAGGCAAGGTTGCTTACTCTCACCCTTTCTTTTTCACCTAGTGATCGACTGAATCATGAAGACATCAACATCTGGGGGAAAACATAATATAGAGTAGACAGCTAGGATACAGCTGGATGATCTAGATTTCGCAGATGATCTGGCTCTTCTATCTCAAACGCGCAACAACAAACACGGAAGAAGCTTTGGAAGATGTAAGAACCTTCACATATCTGAGTAGCATCATTGGTGAACACGGTAAATCTGATGCAGGTGTGAAAGCACAGATTGGCAAAGGAAGAACAGCATATTTACAATTGAAGAACATCTGAAACTCAAAACACCTATTAATCAACACCAATGTCCGAATTTTCAATACAAATGTCAAGACAGTTCTACTGTATGAGGCAGAAACTTGAAGAACTACGAAAGCCATCTTCCAGAAGATACAAATGTTTATTAGCAGCTATCTACGCAAAATACTTTGGATCCATTGGTCAGACACTATCACCAACAACCTATTATGTGAGAGAACAAATCAGATTCAAGCGAAGGAAGAAATCAAAAACAAGCGCTGGAAGTGGATAGGATCCAACTGTATCTTCAACACCAAAAGTAAAGTGAAAGACCAAAATTCACAGTACAACAAGAAATTGAGAAATAGACATGAGAAAAACTGACAATAATTGAATAGAATTAGAACGGAAGATCCAAGACAGATTGAATTATTAGAGAATACTCCATTGCAAGTAACAGATGTAAATAACTAAGTAAATAATTATAAGAAACAAATAAAAAAAATTCACTGGTTGAAATCATGAGTCGATCGAAGCTGGACCACCATGGAAAACCTGATCGGCCGTTTCGTTCTAGTATGAGACTCCTCAGCATTGGGCATCCACGACCTCGCCCCCCGCGAGATTCAAACACAGGACCTACTGGTGTCGCGCCGGCATCCAACAGTGTTGATATCTAACTTCAACCATTCCACGAAGTTCCGCCACCTTACACCATTGTCTTCAGTGAGTTGATATCTCACAACCGACCTGATTGAACTCTATATTTTCCATGGTGTTCTAACTTCAATTGACTCATGATTTCAACCAGTGAAATTTTTAAAATCTCCACAAAACCCCTTCAAATAAGAAGAAAAAAGAACAATTCAATTCACTCTTACCTATTACTTATCATTCTTGTTACATTATATAATACCATTCCAAATGGTTGTCTTTTGATGGTACAATATAAATAAAATCAATTTTAATACGATGAATTAATTTAATCATATGAATTATAGATAATGGTGGACATATAAATTCTTTATATAAATCCTGATTTAATATTTGCCAACATGAACTAGAATGTTCTTTTGTATAATTCTGATAATAAATAGTTTGTTTATATTCAATAAATTTTTTTCGACCATTTAAATAGAATGTTAATGTTACTGATTCATTGGCATCAATTGATTTTAAGTGGATAATTTGTTTTAAACTTATTAAATGATACCATTTTGATTGATGAGAATGATTCAATGATGGATCTTTTAAAAAGATTTCTACATTATTTAAATAAGAATGATTCGGTAAATGATATAATAATAATGATTGTTGTTGTTGATGATGATGATGATGATTATTGAATTGATTCCATAATAAATAAGTAGTATATATAGATGGATGAAAGAAAAAATTGAATAGAATACAAATAATAATGAATAAACAAAAACAACTAAAACATAATAGGATACGAATGAGTAACCAATATTTTTGTTTCCATATGAAATTCTCTTCTAAATTATTATTATTATTGATTTGATTCGATTGTTTATTATTATCATGACAATGACTTAATAAATATTGACTTTCTTTCATTATAGGATTTATTGATTTTATATAAGAATCATTCGATTTCATATGTATATATGAAATCAAACAAATCAATAAACGTAAACAAATCAATAGAATGATACATATACCTTTTATTAGATAACCAATCGATATAATTGATTCTTGACATGTATATAAATAAGTATATAATATCATTAATGGTAATTCAGCTATCAATATATTGATTATAGTAATACAATCAATCAATAACCATAATGTAAATTTATTTCTTATTATATTAAACCATAATAAAAATTCTATTAAATTCAATGTTAATTCAATAATATTAAATAAAATTATAGAATGGATCATAATATTGGATATTTGATCATAAACTAAACCAGGTAATTGTTGATTTAAATCATTGACAATAATCCAACTAGATAATGTATTACATAATAATAGAATTAATGTTATACATATATTGAATATAAGTATCCATGGTTTTATAAGATATTTTATTAGAATAGATGATTGTTGATTCATTTTAATAAGTAGTATAGTTTGGTTTCTTTAGTAATGATGAATAAATGAGAAGTGGTATTGTTTGTTTGTTCTCTTTTATTTTACTCGTTAAACAAAACAAAACAAAACAAATCAGAACTGAAAAGTAAAATTGATTACACAATTCGTTGTTGTTGTAAATACTATTCATATGAGTATTATATTTCAAAGAATAGTAATCATCTAGTGAGGATGAGTACAATTATTGATTATTCCATATTGATTATGCACTTTACAGTGTGGTCTTCATAGGATTCTATAATAACAATAATAGTAATACTTATTATTATTATGGTTAGCTTTATTCAATATTACATTCTTAGTACAATATAGAACTTCCAGTACAAATTATTTCAACAAGCTTCCTTTTCACAGATTGAAATCATGAGTCAGTTGAAGCTAGACCACCATATAAAACCTGGAAGCACTGGATGGCCGTTTCGTCTCAGTATGGGACTCCTCAGCAGTACGCGTCCACCATCCCGCACCCCGCGAGATTCGAGCCCAGGACCTATCACTCTCGCGCTAGGCGCTTAACCAATTAGACCACTGAGCCGGCCGGAGTACAATGGTGTTAATGTCTAACTTCAACCAATCCACGGAGTTACGCCACTATACACCATTGTCTTCAGTGAGCTGACATCTCACAACAGACCTGGTTGAACTCCACTGGTAACGGCTTCTCACTAGAACTCCAGGAGTATCTCTTGAAGTCAGTCACTAGTGAGCAGATGATTATTATCAGAAGGGGTTTGTGGAAATTTTAGAAATTTCACAGATGTAAATCAAGTTTCCTTTTCTTAATTATTCATCAATCCTGACGATCAATATTAAGTGATCTCGATAGTGTAATCAGAAGATGAAGATTTGAAAGAATATTAATCATCTAGTGAGGATGAATACAATTATTGATTATTTCATATTGATAATGCATTTTACAATGTAAAGTCTTCATAGGATTATATAATAATAATAATAATAATAATATTATTATTATTATTATTATTACTATTATTATTATTATTATAGTTATTATGGTTAGCTTTATTCAATATAGAATTGACAGGACAAATTATTTCAACAAGTTTCCTCTTCTTAGTTATTCATCAGTCCTGACGATCAATATTAAGTGATCTCGATAGTGTAATCAGAAGATGAAGATTATCAGAACTATGTGATGATATGTTAGTGTAATGTCTTTTGAACAATCTGATCACATACAATATACTTGTTAAGAACATTGATATATAAAATAAAAGGTTAGCTAGATTAGAAATGAAAGGTAAAAGGAGACAAGGATAATAAAAATATAATACTGGCTCAGAGGTCTAGCGGTTAAGATATCCCGGATTGGATGTTCGGTAATCTAGCAGAACAAACCAAGTCAACTTGTATGTCGTTAAAGGGGAGTGGAAGTGCAGGTGGCACCTGTGCAACCTCTAGCGTCGTGTGGGCGGTACACATGCATGTGCAGCGAGAGTAACTGGTTAGCAATATTTAGCCAAATGCCTCGTCATCTAATTAGTGACGCGCATGAATGGATTAACGAGATTCCCGCTGTCCCTATCTACTGTCTAGCGAAACCACAACCAAGGGAACGGGCTTGATAAAATTAGCGGGGAAAGAAGACCCTGTTGAGTTTGACTCTAGTCCGACTTTGTGAGGAGACATGATGGATGTAGTATAGATGGGAACTGGGTGCTTCGTTGTCCAGCGTAAATGAAATACCACTGCTATCATTGTTTCTTTACTTATTCAGTGAAATGGGAACGAAATTGTATTTTACTTCAAAGCACATTCCGGGGTGCATGGTGTATCGCTGCGTACCTCGGTATCCTGTGTTAGAATCTCATGAGGCGAGTTCGTGGATGTGCACTGCTGAGGAGTCCTAAAATAGGAGAAAATGGCCGTCCAGTGATCCCAGGTTTTTCATGGTGGTCTAGCTCCAATTGACTCATGATCCCAACTATGATAACCACAAAAATCACTTCTGATATCAAACAACGTGAAAACAATTTGAAATTGGATCACTCTAGATAATAGGCTAATATTACTAGGGTAGGCTTAAGGTGAGAACAAACTGTTTTTAAATACACAAAGGGGGTTAGAATTTTCGTATGGCTAAGGCTTCAAAAGCCTTAGTAATATGCCTTTTCACACTTTTGTACAACACCACAAAAGACGGGTTAAGACCAATCTTACGATCTGTTTCAATTATGTGTTTGCCAATAGAGGATGATAGATTTTTATCCTCTACTCTTATTGAGTCATTTGAATCTGTTTGCTTCTGAAACCCGTTTAGGTACATGTTCACCCTAATTTTGAGATCACGATTACTCCTCCCTAAGTTATCGCCAGTTAGATAGTAACAGTTCAGGAATCAATATTTAAATAATGTTCATTCATTTCAATACATAGTGCCAGCAACTACAATGTCTAATTGACGAATCAATATAGACGTTTAATTAGAAGTTTATGGAAAAAAAGCTCGACAAAGTTACACTATTAAAATGAACTTAAGATATAAAAAAAAGAAGACAAATTACTTTAGTGAAGCCACTTATGTATGAAGGAGTTGTTATTTTATACATTAGATAAACTTTGTTCATTATAGAAATAATTAAAGATGGAACAATTCGAAATTGGTTCACCTTCTTCCAACTAATTACAATATCTCTGATTAAGATTATGAATAGATCGATGTTATATCATTATTAGAAATCTAGAAGCACTAGACGGTCGTTTAGTCCTAGTATGGTACTCATGAGTAGTGCACATCCACGACTCTGCACCATAGAGACTCGAACCTTGGACCTCCGGTTTCGCGCGCGAATGTTTAAGCTCTAGACCACTGAGTCGACTGGCATCCAACGGTATTAATGTCTAACTTCAACCAATCGACGAAATTGTGCGACCATCTTCTATTGTCTGAGATAGATACTTGTCACTATCTGAAATAGATTAGCTCCACTGGTCATGGCTTCTCAATTGAACTCCGAGAATTCTCTCGTGAAGCTAGTCACTAGTGAGTACATGGTAATTATTTGATTGAGATCATGAATCGATCGATGTTAGATCATCATTGAAATATTATTATATAAACATTTATTTATATAAATAGTATTTCAGTGAAAGTAGGAAGATCATCCTACTCTCTATTATGTTTTTCATAAATTTATCTTCAAAGTTAACCTTTATGCTATAACACATTTACCTAATTCCTCTGGAATGTCAAGTGACAAGTTTATTTGTTTATCTCACTTCTGATTTATACACAATATACTCATGTTTCTTAAATGTTTAACCCATCTGTTAAGCAAATGTAAAAACTGAGAATGATTAGTGTAGTTCGACATCAAAATCGAATGAATATACATTTACAATACATGGTCTTGAAGTAAAAGATATATATGCTTTTTCTGCAACACATGACATGCCTAGACTCATACGGCCTATCATTCACATGAGAATGAACATGTAGTGGTAAGTAAATCCTTAAAATAAATAGTTTTGTAAGTTTTCAACATTGATACTGAACTTATTACTTTTACTGGATACATCCCTTATTGAAGGCTTTCAGTCAATTATCCTCATAAGAGCATGTTTGTGAGTGCCATGCTGCTTATCTGTTATTATAACGGGTCAGTCTAGATTCTATATACTACATTACATCGATCTTAGCCCCAAATGTACTTTCATATCTAGTCATTCTTGATTTCTGGTTTTATTAGCTCTGGGATCGTGTAAGAAGTCATTTCGGATAGTGCTGTCATATTCTACGTATCCTTGACCGCTTCG